CCCGAGAAGTAACCCGAGTGGTAGCAAGTGCTAGCAGCCTCCCGCTGGCAAGACTGTTGATGGTTCAAAAGTCAGAGGAAGTTGAAGTTTGGGAAAAATTTCAAGATTTTTGAGAGACTGAAATCTCAAAATTTTTACCTGTTTTGTCTTTTGAGGTTTTTCTGTATTTTCGAATATTCTTCGATTTTAATCCATTTTTCGGAAATTTTCGAATTTAATCGATTTTTGGATACTCTTCGAATTCGACCAATTTTATTCAATTTTTGTTTCTTTCCATGAAATAATTGGGCTAACTCGTTTTATTATTTTCAGGAATGTGCGAGCCAATGCTTACCGGATCATTCGGACTCGCCCCAACTCCTCCGCCTCTCGCTGAACAGGTTTGTATCTTCATACTACTTTATGTGTGCGTTTTTTCAGGCTACAGCATTGTGAGGACATTCTGTGTTTAAAAGAAAATATTCTTACGTTTTTTAATTCTGTGCAGTTCAGGATCGAAGAGCCTGGCATAGCTGCGCTTGGCGTTTGGAAGCATCTCAGTAACATGGGATACCACTGTGATAAGTCGGGCAGATCAATTGTCCGTTCTGTTGTAGTACCACACCAATCGTCCATATGTCTCGATATTAGCCTTAGTGTTGGTTTAAATCTGAAATGAGATGTGTGAAAGTTTTCCTCCTTATAGCTTAAATTGTAACCAACTGATAATCAAGCGCCTCGCATCTATTGCACCAACTTAAGTAGCCTACTTTTCCCAGTCCAGAATATTCCAGCGACTCTTGCTTCATCGACTGAATGGTTCCTCCCGGCGAGAACTGACCTGCGCGATCATCATTGCGTAATTTTTTTGTGCATCCCAGAAATATCGTTCCATCAGATGAGGTAGGAATTTTGAGGTGCAGTTGCATCATCACTCTCTTTTCGGAGCATACCCAGATGGCTCCAAGAGGTTAGTAGCGGTGTTGTATTTGCTGAATGGATGCTGACTTTCAAATGCTGGGTCGCCTGTTTTCTCATCCTAGGAAAGAGAAGGTTAATTTTGGCATTTTTTTGAAGATGAGAAGTATATTTTTGGAGTTTGGGGTATGTAACTAAAATATACTTCAATTGCACCTCAGAATTCTATCGGTGGAGATATTGTTTTGTAACATAAAAAATTTGGTTGCACCTGACCTATGGGAGCATCCCAACAACATCACTTATAAGATATCCCCGCGCACGCCTCCGACGATCTTTATAATTTCGTAGCATGAAAAAATGGCAGTTACTGAATAAGTGCACTATGAAATTCAGATGATCAAGGTACTGAAAGATTTTGATCAGTTCTTGTTTCACCACGGTAAACTTCCCGTTAGTGAAATCATTGGCAATCTTCATATGGTTGCCAGAGTTGCATCACCTGGTGCTCAACCAACTGATGACCCTCGCCTTCCAGGAGGAATCTTCGCTGATGACCCTCAGCCAACCGATGACTCTTGCTTTCCAGAGGAAATGTTTGACGTGTTTACTACGAGTTTTTGTCCGGCGCTACGATTCCTGAGCCATCTGCCGATATACTTCTAAGTTTCCTTACAACAATGGCCATCGCCCATGGGAAGGACCTGTAGAAATTAATCGGACCAGTGTTCCACAACAGATTCCAAATGCCAAGATACTGAGAGCTACACCTTGAGCGAGCTAAAAGTACCCCCTTTCTTTTTCCATCTATAGTTCTGTGATTCGAAAAAAAA